TTTAAGTATAAGTATGTGCAGATGTTGTATTCCCATGGGGACATGAGGACCTGTCCTGAAAGATAACATCTGGGTATTGCCATAGGGCTAAAGGTCACACTGAGGCGCAACGCCGCCCTGACCTTGTGCGAACAGTAACAACTACTCGTACCCTCCGGTAATCAGATTATCGCAACTCTTAGTCTATCAGAAATAATCTGTACTCATCTGCGTGAGTTATTCTGGCTTGATCTTTCACGTGCTAATTCTACTTACGTATATCGCTTCGCTTCTTCAATGATGGAATATTCTGGTGATACTGATGCGTGGTCATGGTCATGCATAGAAAATTCGATGTTTGAACTTGACGAGAACATCAGTCGTCTCAAAGGGGACCGCAGTAGCCTTTGCAGGGGTAAGTTATTTTTGAGTCTTTGGAAAGCACCCAACATTTCGTGAAATTATCTTCTCGTTCTACGCTCTAACAGTTGTTCCTTACTGTGAAAACCTCATGCAAATCTTACCAAAATGGTAGATTGTTCTTCTAGAAACCCTGTAAGAGGTAATTTTTGTTCACGCTCCAGTACCGTACGAATCCTCCCAGTAGGCTTGCAACATTTCGACATGACTTTCCTTCGCAGGAATTCCAAATGTGATCGAAATTTTTGAAATGGGCTCTATTCAACATGCGCCCTATCTCCTTTGACGGGTAGTATGATAATTCAAAGGCAATTACCATGATCACCCGGGTGTGTTGCTCCTTTTCGAAGACAGAGTTGTCCACAAAGGTAATAGATTAAGTATTCTCACAGCTCGAAATTGCACGACAAAGGCACTGGGAGTCTCTTGTGATGCATAGCTTGAATTATCGCTCACCAAGCGGAAATCTAGATACCAACGTGTCTACGTCTCGTGTGTTCCCCATACTCTCTTGTTTGTTCTTTCGTCTCAGCGCTTAAATCCTTTTGCGCGTAGCTCGTCAAGCTTCCGGAAAAAGAGGCAACATTCTGTGCTTTCGGCGGTTTCCTTCCTTCTCCGGTAGTCCATTTCGTGCCATTTTCATTTCCAAGCAGATAACCTCACCCGGTGGTTCGCATTTGAGGACCCAAGAAAAGTCAATAAATTTACATATGCGTCACCCTGTTGAACGATTGAACCCTTTGCGCACGCGATCTCATGCTTTGATTTCATGGTGATGCTCATAAGGTAAAAGAAATGCGGCGCTAGATGAGGTAGATGAATGTCAGATGGCTTCCAGACCCTTAACTACAAAGAAAGGTGAATTCCAACCGATTCAGAAGTAAATGTCATGATATCAATACTGGAGCCGTCTATCAGCCTTTATGATGACCCAACCTACGTGAATCTCAATCAGACGCAACTCAATCACAACACTTATCATTTCGGTAAGCTATTTGGTGTGTTGAAATAATGCGGTCATAGTAGAGTAAAGAACATTTTCCATTAGGGCAATGTCAACATACTGTTCGGGTGCGCCACGCACTTCACTTCCAGTAGTAATCGCCGTGGCGATTAGGGTGCGATTTTGCCCTGTCCAGTGGCTCACCAGCTGGCCTGATGTGTCAAAGTCATATTTATGAAGTTGCATTACCCCTACAAGTCAATAGAGCACAAACGCGGATACACGATGCCAACTACTAATTTGAGAGACCGAAAGGGTAGCGGAATCCTGGTGACAGGGTTACCGGGCAACTGATCCCCTTACACGCGATAAGGCCTAGGAGAAGCGATGTCGACAGCGTACACGCAAGCCCTCGCAATTGCCCTTTTAGCGCATGATCGATAGCCCACAGTTAATCCAACAAAAAACAGGGAACACGGAAAATGGGCTGCAGAGAGTGTAAAGTAATATCCAAAAGCGCCAATCTATACTGGGTCTATTGGCGTATCCTACTTCTCCCTAACCTTCCCAAAAATGTAGAATTAGAGACTAAGAAGAGAACAGACGACGAAAACGCAGCTCATCAAATCAAGGTAGGTAAGGTCAGTGGCGCAGGGATAAAGAAAAAACCCAGAACTTGAGAAATTAGACCCCTTCCTCGCCCGTTGATTTCCGCTTTGATGCTGACTTCAGCGATGACGCGCTAAGCGGCTTGAGTCAAACGGCGAGGGTCGGCGTGCCGCGGATGGCCATACCAAGCCGCTGCGCTGCTTCCTTTGCTGCGAAACATAGATCGTCCCGCAGCTTCATTGTTAGGGCGCCTGCCTATATTATTTATTATATTGGTGTATTTCTACCATGGAATCCTCCTTCAAGACTTCTACCAAGGAATGAGCATCCAATCTGCTCATTATCAGCTCGGAATCAAATGCACGACAAAATGAGGACTGTGGCTCATAACCAAAAGGATCAGCGCACCCAGCGATATTATTGAGCCTACATTGTTGGTAAAGCAGATGTCATGCTATGCACAAGAGATTCCATCTTCGTATAACTTCGTAGCTCAGATTTATGAGACCACGCCGGAACAGGACATGAATTGTTCGAGCCTGGGAGTCCCAGGCCCATCCATTCACACTCCAATGGGCGTGGAAGTGTTTCAGCCGAAGTATTAGACCGATTGCAGGTTTGCGCGTAAACATGACTCGAAATCAAACCCATTAACTATAATAATTTAGGTGACCGCTTCAAGGGCTTGTTCCTCTTCTTACGAGAGACCAAAGCTCGTCAGTCACTGCTTTCTTCTCTACAAAAAGAAATTGAAAAACTGCTGAATCTTCACACGAACTGCGATTTGGCCACGACGGATGAAGCACGGTTTTTCACTGATATCGTTCTTTTCGGTAAGTAGCTTTCAATTCTGTAAATTAGGTTAAGTAATGAAAAGCGAATCTTAAAGATCTGCTTTCTAATTCAAAATTCTAAAAAACTGAATCTCGGAGGAACATTCCGTCAAAGTTACGCATCAACTTCAGCAACTGTGATCGACGACCGTTTACGACGAATCCGAAGACAATCAGACGATCAGTTCAACGCCATTGCAAACAAACTGACAAAAATAGAAAAGAAAGGTCGTGCAGGAACGTTCTCACTTCTATCGACTTTCCACGAATTTCTGCTGAGAATTTTCACACGGAAACCCATGAAAAACTAGTAATACAATTATTCACTTAATATAACCAGTTTGTACACGACTTTAATAATAATATATCTACTGTAACTGTGAGATTAGAAAGCATTATATAAAAGATTGTGTGTATATTGATATGTTGGTGCCTTTAAATAGCAAGTAGTTATTTCAAGCACAAGCTTGACAGCTGCAGTACCATGTTAACAAGTTACTATTCGTAATAATTCTTCAAAATGTATTTATTTGTAACTATCAAATGCTGCATAAATAATTTATTTCTCATCAACCGTACTCGTACCCGTATTATTCTGTGACACAGTTGAATCTTTATCCCGTTGCAAAGCCCGCAGTGTTTTCTTCGTTGCAATGAGATCTGCTCCTTGTGCTTCTCTGCAATAATTAACGCAATCTAAATGAGGTAAACAATTAAAGTGCCTGACTTCCAGACACTAGCACCCAAAAAACAAAACAATTAAAGTAAAATGCTTCACACAAAAAGGTTTGGCGATGGTTTGCTCGCTCAAGGACGTGAAGAAAGGCATTTGATGTTTCTATGTGGTCGTAACCTAGACAGGAATTAGAATGACCCAACGAAAATTGGTCTGGATGCCATTACTTGATGAATAAACCCCTGTTTACAGCTCTGCATCGCCATAGATGGGTCACAGAGGAGGTGGAAAAAAGGAGTAATGCATATGCAGGGGCCTCGAACTGATTAAAAATAATGAAAAAGCTTTTCGCAAAGAAATTATTCAGTACTTACAGTTTTGCTCGGTACGACACAATTTGTTGACTGGCTTCTCTAGCTTCTTCGATTAGTCGTTGATTTTCCAACGCATATGAAAGACAGTCGGCTCTAGTCTAAATCAGCAATGTTAAAAGTATGATTGAAAATTTGAAACAACTATGAATTATTAATTGTGATAGTAAAACTTCACTCTCATGCAGTGAAAGGGTGAGCTCATCACAGCGAGCCCGTTCAAGTGCGAGATCAGTCGAGGTGCGGGACAAGTGATCTTCTGCTAAGAGAAATGTATTTATGCGGTTTAAGAAAACAGCACTGATTCGTAAAATAACGCAGCGCTGCTGACATGTTTGCTAGCGTCTCCGTATTTTAGTTACTGAAGCTCTGAATCTGCTCGCTCTACAAAACGCTGAATTTATTGGTGATTGAGAAGTAGTAAAGGTATCTATGGCCATAGTTAAATTCGTTGGCGCGCTTGAACTTTCATGTGATCATTAAGTTAACTTGCACGCCGGCAAACCTTAGGGCTAGATGCCAAGGTTATAGATAACTGTTAAAATTAAGGAAGACTCATCTTGCGAGCTGAGGGGATATGTGAGTAGTAGGGAAATAGGCAGCAAAGGGTAAGACATAAGGAACACTGTACAAGGAGGCGGATGCACCGCGCATGCTGTGAACGAGTGTGAATGGCAGCGGTTAAAGCACTCAACTCTAGCCTTGATGCGCACTTTCGTGACGTGATACAACTCTAGTATTTAGAAACCGTGCTACTTCACTCACCGAGAGCACTGCTACTGGGATCATCGCGACCCGTGTCTTTCATGTTCTGAACGATCTAACTCTATCCCTCTGAAATTACTCTACTAATGGCACCTTACCTCCAGCCAGTGACGACGTCGACCATGACAACGAGTCATTCGTTTAGTAGTGCCCTCATCAGTATATTGCTTTCCTAACCGATTTTTGGCGATGCCCTCCTATTCATAGTGTATTAGTCTTGACCTCCTAAGCTGACGACGTCTCACTCTAAGCACAACCACGCTCGTTCTACGACTTTCATGGCTTATTTAAGAATAACTTGAGGCTATTACTCTGAACCGACGCGAGTTCCCTTTTGTTCTTACGACGCTTATTCAGATCAGAGTGACGCCTCGCAACAGGAAAATAATCAAAGTCGAGAGACGAGGATGAGACAACCAACAGATCTACCTTGAGCATAAAACACGGAAGTTTCACTCACCAATTTCCTACTTTGATCTAGGTCGTCATGTAACGATTTTGACATATTCACTTCTTTTTCAAGTCTTGATCGAAGGTCCTCGATTTCAATCTGCGAGTTTTCCAAACATATCTGTAACAAACTTTTTGAGAAAGGCGACTTCATGGAGAGAAACGATAACAAAAAAGGTAGTCAAATTGCGATAGATGCACATAGCTACATATGCAGGGAGTAGATAGCATGAAACAAGAACCAAAAGTTCTCGTGCTATAACATAAAAAAATAATGAAATGAATCGAAATGGTGATATCGTTTGACTCAGTCATTCAAAAAAGTCAAAGAGCGACGGCTCTAAAGGAAATGAATAACACTTCAGGAAGAAGAAGAAAAACTCCATACATATAGCAGTTAAGAATAGACATACCTGTAAAGAATCATTCTGCTCATCCTTTTTGGACGGAGACCTGTGTTTCCTTCGCGATCGATCAAGTAATGACGGAGAATCCGGTGCATTCGATGAGCACGGATCAGCCTGTAAAAAACGAATTTTACCCCACCAGTGAAATTCAAAATGAAGTTCTGCTATACCTACCGCTTCTATAAGTTTTTCGAATTCTTTACTTGCAGCTTTCGCTTTCTTGTACTTCCTTTCTAACTCGATACATCGCTCTTGCAGAATATCCTTATCCCTTGCTAGGCTTTTGACTTCGTAATTCAATTCTGACAACAGCACCTCTTGATCTAGGAAACGTTGCCGATTTGACCTGAAATAGAGTGGGATGTCAGTTACTTAGAAATGCACATCAAAGTTGTTCTGTGAAGAAACTGCATTTATACGAGATCTGCCCGAGTAAAGTAATGTATGGGACCATAGCAACAGAATAAATACAAGAAGTAAAATATATGTGCAAAAATAGAAGTCGAAATGGAGTACATTGTGACTAATAAAGTGACACTTCCTCTTTCAAGGTTATGAAAATACTTCCTAGCTTTCTTGTGCCTTACGAAGGTGCTGAGTAGAACGTTTACTCAATGGCCTAACATTTCGACTGAATTTTCGTCTACAAGTGTCTGAACTTGTTTCAAATGCTAGATTTACGCTCTATACCACCAAGCTCCCCACCAACTCTAGGAATTCCGCATCGTGTTAAAAACGAGTTACGGAAAGATTGCATGAACAACGACACTGTTTCAGCAGCGTTACATTAAAACACAGTATCGCGTTGTCGTATAAAAACACTAATGCAAACCTAACGCTGCCTGAAACGGAACCTGACTTTACCCGGACAAACTTATGGGATGAACCCAACAAGGATAAAACCTCCATCAGAAATATTTTAGAAGTGAAAAACGGTGAGAATAGCGTATTAGCAAAATCAAAATATTAGTACGCAACCAAGATTGCAAAGTTTGCCTGCCGAGACTCAGGCGAAAGGACCTCAAGACAGGTGAGCCAAAAGAAGTGAGATGGTGTTACAACTCCTAACCGATAACCATTAACTCGACTGGGTAAGCCTTGTAGACCCAAATTTTTGTTGCCGTACTTCAGAACAATAAACCATAACCTACAGCACCCAGGTTTTATATTTTTCTAACCTCCGATGATTTTCAAAAACGAATTATTTTAAATTTGTTTTACAAAGTTGCCAGTAGGTCTCCCTTTGACAGCTCTCTCGCCGCATAATTTGCTGATTCAGACACATCCATCGAGGAAAAGCAATTACATTTCGAGCTAG